AATATTCTGTCTTTGCTCTCTCAGCCATGCCCTTTGATGCACAAAAGTTTGTCATGTTGATGAAATCCAATTTATGTATCTTTTTCTTTTCTTGCCTGGGCTTTTGGTGTCATGGCCAAGAAATCATCATCTTGACTAAATCCCACTCACCCCTGCCCCTCCCCCTGCCCGTAGGTGCCTGGGACCCCTTTGTAGGCCACACACAGGTGGTCTGCGTGGCTCCGTTCCCGCCCCCCCCCCTGCAAAACCCAGGCCGCGTCCTTCCTCACAGAAGCCCCTTCTGGCTTGAACATTCTTGGCTCTGGGCTTTGCTCTTCAGAATTTTGGTTCTCTAAGAATCACAGAATGTTAGCACAGATGTAGAAAGAAGAAAAAAAAAAAACACCAGAAACGCTCTCTGAAATAAGAGCCGACTGCTTTTACATTCTAGGGGAACAGCAGAGCTCAGACCAGCGTGACTCCGGTTAGGAAAATACCCCCACGGCTTTCAGCTTTTGGTGATGTGAAAAGCTATGCCCTGCTCTGTGCTCTCCCTCTCCCCTGCCTCTGGGGTCCAGGCAGGAGGGAAGGGGCGAGGGGAAGAGAGCGGGAGCCTGTGGTTTCCTCAGGCATCCTGGGAGAAGAAGCGAGAGCCTGTGGAACAGAGGGCGGGGAGAGGAAAGATGCGACATCACAGGCCGGGGGGCGGAGGGGGGGCGCCCACCTGCCAAGAAATGCCCTGTGTCGTCTGTGCCGTGCGGCTTGCCGCCCCCGCATGACGACTCTCAGTGAATGTCCGCTGCCCGGAGCTACCCGCGTGAAGGGTGCTTCGTACCGATGAAGGAGTCGGGTGGTGTCCAGCGTGGGCCACCCGTGAGCACGCGGCAGAAGCAGGAAAGGTGAAGGCGGGTAACCGGGAGAGACGTGGGAACCCTCACGGGATGCGGGTCTCCAGCATTTATGGATGGGGCTGTGCACCGCTGAACACTGTTCCCCCAAACTCATGTCCACCCACCACCTGTGAGTCTGACCTTATTTGGAAATGGAGTCTTTGTAGATATGATCCAGTTAAGTAGAGTGGTTCTGATCCAATTACCGGTGTCCTCACCGGAAGAGGGAAGTTTGGCCAAAGACACAGAGACACGGCGGAAGGCCCAGGGAAGACAGAGGCGGAGGCCGAGGGATTGCTGGTGGCTCCGGCGGCTGACGGGGAGACGCGGACCAGATTCTGCCTCAGAGCCTCTAAGGGGACCCAGCCCTGCCGACACTTTGGCGTCAGACTTCTGGCCTCCAGAGCCGTTCGAGAATACATTCGCAGTGTGTGAAGCCCCTTGGTGTGGGGTATCTTACGACAGGAGCCCCAGGAAAGAACAGAGGGGCTGACGTCTTTCATTTTAAAAGCACAGCGAGGGGATGGCTCAGTCAGTTGAGCATCTGTCTCTTGATTTCAGCTCAGGGTCATGGGATCGTGCCCCGCGTCGGGCTCCATGCTCAGTGAGGAGCCTGCTAGAGATTCTCTCTCCCTCTTCCTCTGCTCCCGCTCATGCTCTCTCTCTCTCAAATAAATTAATAACTCTTTAAAAGCAAAGCAAAGAGAGGCCCCTAAGCCTGGAGGCCTGGGAACACACCGATGGCGGACCCTGGCTGGCCGTGGGGTCCCTGCCTCCAATCAGGGGCCGGGTCCTACCACACGAAGGAGTCAGACCCCCTTCAGGCAGAGCAAAGGGCAGGCTCTGAGCACCAGCTTCTCTGCTCCTTAGGGCTCAGGGGTCACCACGCTCTGGCCATTGGCATCTGGCGGTGGGAATTAGAGGCTGAAGAAACTGGCCACAGCACCTGTGTCCTTCCCCTGCCCACCCAGCTCCAGCTCTGGTCTCCAAGTGCTACAGCAGAGGAGGGTTTGAGAGTGGGCTCCCAGGCACCGATAAATGCCCGAGCGGTTTGGGAGGACAGGAGCTCCACCCACGAACCATCCCTGCCCTCCAGCACTGTGGTGCGCCAGTGTGGGACTCAGCCTCCTGGCTGTGGGATTTGGTGCTGGCACGGGGGAGAGGTGCAAGACACGAGCAGGGGCGGCGGCGAGAGGTTTGCTGGGTAACCAGGATCCAAGGACAGAGCATGAGGCCCAGTGGGGAAGGCAGCCTGGGCTGGGCCATGTGCGCCCTGCGCAGCGGGACCGGGCAGAGGGACTGGCCACGTTGAAGGGCCTGAGGGGCAACCTGTGCAACCACGGAGGGGACTGGTGTGGCAGGAGCAGCTCGTGCAGGGAGAGAGAAGCAGCAAGTGGGGGGTTGCGGTGCACGGGGCAGCCGGAGGTCAGGTCACACCGGGTCGTGGGAGGGGAAAAGCAGCAGGCCTTGGTGTGCTGGTGGCTGGACCCCGACAATTTCAGGCCTAAACAATGTCACCGAACACTAACATCCATCAGGGCCTCTCTGTGACAGAGATGCATCAAGACCAAGGCAAGGGCGCCCTGTGGTCACATCAGAGTGCAAACAGAGCACACACGCTGTCCAGGCTCAGGAACGGCCAGGCTGGGTCTTGTAAGTCCTTGCCGACACCCTCCTGAGGACACGGCCCTCGGCTCCCTGCACTGTGCAGACTCGCTGGCTTCATCCCACCACAGGTGGCTTCCTGGGGGCCTGGGGATGGGAGGTAACTGACGCCTCATCCACCATGGAAAGCCCTGTGGGTTTTACTTTGAATGGTACGGGAAGCCACCAGATGGTTTTAAGCAAGGAGAAGTAGGTAGTGATTTTTGAAAGAAACATTCTGGGAGACGAGTCAGGACGCTCTGTCTGGGAGTGCAAGTGACGGCGTCTGGAGCAGGGTTCTCTGGGGCTACTTGGTGGGGGCGGGGTCCTCTCTGCCCTGCAGGGCCGGGAGGGAGGGCGGGCCAGGACATGCAGGTGGCCTCTATGTCCCAGAGGAGACTCCAAGGGGCTTCTGAGATAAGCCACCGTCCGTGTGCAGTGGGACAGGGCTGTTTGCACCATTCCACACACCCGGGAAACAGAGCATCCCACTGGAGGAGCACCGAGGTGCCTGGCCCTACTGCCACCTTACTGCCCTCTGGGCAGAGAGACCATCACACTCAAGACACCCTTTAAGACAGACTTTGTCAACAAAACCAAACCAACCCAAACCTGCAGGCACCAAGGGTCCAGGACACCTGTGGTCCATACCCCATTCTGCATAGGTGTCCAAGGTGGCGGCAGCCTGACACGTGTCCAGATGAATGGCGAGGTCATTCCCATGACCCTGCAGAACAGGATCAGGGGACTGCTCACGCTCAGCCAGGAGGGCCGAGTGGCCAGACTTGTGGATTACTGACCACCCCAATCTGGGCTCAGAAGGGGAACCCCTCCCCTGCTCTATGCATATAAACGTTGCTTCCAACTTGTGCCCAGGAGGGTGGGCTAGCTAGGGGCTTCTTCCAGTGGCCAGACCACAACATGTCCCCTTGTCCTGTTAGGGTGAAACCATGTGGTGTGTGTATATGGCTGGGAGGGGGGGTGTTCTCCTTTGGTTATTGGTCCTATAGTGTGGTCCCTAAGGAGGGCAGAGGTAGAGTGTTGGGACTTGGCCCCTGGCTGCCTCCCTGTCTGATCTGGCCACTTTCCCTGTTTCTCCCAGGCCCCCCCACCTTGCCTGTAGGGTGGAGCCTCCCTCACCAGGACCTGTCGGTTCCTCAAGCCTCATCCTGACCCTGTCCCCCACCCCTGCACCCCTGGCCCACAGGAGAAGGTCAAAAGAACTTGGGGCCATAGGAAGGAGCGTGGAGGACTCACTGCACCCCCCAGGACCCCCTCTGCAGGACAAAGGCGGAGCTCTGGGAACCAGAGGCCACACCGGCACCAACCACATCCGGGCACATTTGTCCTGAGTCCGGGCGCTGCTGTGTGTGCGAGCACTGGGGAGGGGAAAACTCCCATCCCATCGGGAGCCTCCGTTCCTATTCACACACTACGGTCCGTGGGGTGCTGGAGCACGTCCATAGATCTTACCGGAAAACCATGTACGTGCAAGAGCAACGCACGGAGGAAAAACAAGCCTGGAAGAAAACATTCCCAAGTGTTCACAGTGGTTCTGTCTTGCGGCGGGATCAAGGGTTTTTATACTTTCGTATGTTTTCCAATTTTTTTATACCGAACACGTGTTAGTTATGTAATTTAAATTTTATTTATTTATTTTTAAACCAAATTCTCCAGCCAACTGTGCTCTTCCCCAGTGCGGTAACTTTCCTTTGAGTCAGATTTCTGGGTGAACTCAAGGAACAACGACTCCCTCTCAGGCTGCACATTCCCGTTCTCCCTTCTTCCTCCTTAGACCCTCGGGGCAGGGGGCAGGCCCTGCGGAGGTCCGCCGCGGGGGCTGAGACGGCCGTCCGTCCGTCCTCAGGCGTCCTCCCTCCGGGGTGGGCCCTGCGGGGCGCGCTCTGCCCTGCAGGCCCGGCCCCCGCCCGCTGACCCTGGCCGTCCAGCCCCTGCAGCCCCGAGCTCGCGGCGGGAGGGGGCGGCGGGGACCCTGCAGGGGCCTCCGGCCGGGGCGCGGCGGGGCGGGGCGTGGGCGCCCGGCGTGGAGGGCCAGGAGAGGCGGGGTACTCCCCCTGCCCCGCCCCCGCCCCCGGGCCGACCCCGGGCAGGGCGGCCGCGGCTGCTCGGCTTCCACGGCCGGGACGGGGCGGAGATGGGGGGCGGGGGAAGTTCTCGGAAAAAAGTTAACGGAGCGGACGGCTCTCTGCGGCCTCCCGCCTCCACCCGTCCCCGGGCCTCCCAGCGAGGGCGCTGCTGGTCACCGGGCGCGGCGCGGGGACCCCGGGGGGCACCGAGGCCTGGAGGCCGGGCTCCGGGGGCCAGGACCCGGGCCGCGACCGAGACTCAGGGGGTTGCCCCAGCGACGCGCTCACGCGCGCGGTGATTGGCGAAGTGCGGGGGGGCGGGGCCCGGGAGACGCTCTCGCGAGCGCTCGGCCTCCCGGCGGGCGGAAGCCGGGGGGCGGGGCTTCCGGCGCGGGAGCGCGCTTGGTCACCGCCCCCCACCCCCGCCTCCGGGCAGGCAGCGGGGCGTGTCCCTGTGCCTTCGGTGTCCGGGGACCTGAGCGCTTCCCCCGCCCGCCGTGCTGTCCCCCTGCCCCGGGCCGCCCTCTCACCTAGCCTCCCGCCCTGGGCCCTGAGCGGGGTCTCCCTCCTGAAGCCTCAGTCGGCTCTCCACACCGAAGCCAGTGACCTTGCTGTGTGCCCTCCCTGCGATGCCCGGGTCCCCTCGGAGGGAATGGGGAGGCCTTCCCCGGCACCACTCTCTCCCCGCCCCCTGCACTCCAGTCACGCCGGCCTGCTGCTTCTGCCCACCTCCCTCCTCCCTGCCCCAGGGCCTTTGCACTTGCCGGTCCCCCGCGGCCTAGAACTCCGGCAGATACCTGCCCGGCTCTCACCTCCTTGGGGCATTGCTCAGCATCACCTCCCGAGCGAGGGGACCACCTGTTTAACATTACACCTCACCTTCCTCATGTCCCCATGCCCCCCGCCCTGTGTTTTCTGCACAGGGCTCGTCACTGTCCAACACGGTATCTGCTGCCTGAAAGCTCCAGGAAGGTGGAGGGTGTGTCTCGTTCAGGCCCCAGCAGGTGCACGGTAAATGCTGTATGCTGAGCAGGTAAACGAAGGCTCTTTCCGCCTCTTCCTCTCCCTCCCCACCCTGGGGTGATTCTCTGGCAGGGGAGCCAGCAGGAACGAGTGGCTGCCCACGTATCAAGTGCCTTACTTTCAATATCTCACTCCGAAAAAGCTCATTCGTGTGGGAGGACCGAGGCGCTCAGGGAATCCTACCCTTCACACACTGTCACCCTCTGCTCAGGATCCTCTGGGCCCCAGATGTGCTGATTTGGAAGAAGGCCTGGTGCCGCCCTCAAGGCTCTCGGACTGACGGGAAAGTGATGGCTGCCGTGCCGGGTGCGTGCGAGGCGGGTGCGAGGCGCAGTGGGAGGAGAGAGGGTCAGCTTCCAGAATGGGGTCCTCAGAAGTCCTCCCAGGGGTCCCCAGAGGCCACGTCTGCTGTGAAACGTGCACCACGAACAGCCATCGTCGATCGCGTACTCTGTGCTCCATGTGGTCCTAGCTGCCAGTCCGCGCGCGCGTGGGGTTGTCCTCTCAGGAACGAGGGGACGGGCTCAGAGAGGGCAGCCCCTTGACTGAGATCACAACACTAGTACGTGGGGGGTCCGCGTCCCCAGTCCAGCTCTTGGTGGCTGAGGAGCCCGTGCTCTTCCCAGGGCCGGAAGCCAGACACGCATCCAGGGCTGACTGGAATGGCTCGCGAATGGCTTCCCTCTGGGCCTGGGCCCTGGGACAGGAGCTCTTCACAGGCCCTGTGGCTTGGACAAGCCCGGGCAGCCATCTGCTGCCAGCCTCGTGGGGAGCAGGGCACAGGCCACCGCAGCAGCATCTGTCTTTGTGGCTCAAAGGCATTTCCTTCAGGAGATGGAGCTGCCTGGCTCCTCTCCTCCCCGCCCCCCCCCGGACTCCCTCTCAGCTCCAAAGTCAAGGGTTTCAGGGCTGTGTCCGCAAGGGGCCGTGCTGCACTGTCCTTCTGGCATGGGGCGTGGTGGCCTGGAACGGACATCTGGTGTCCCTCAACCCCCACAGCCAGGGCATCTGTGGCCCCATGGAACTCAGTGACAAGGAGAGCCGGAACCAGGGAAAGGCCACGCTTCCCTGTGTGCCTGCCAAGTGGCAGAACATCCCCCGCAAGACCTGCCTGGCACTGCCCTGGCCACGGAGGCTTCCTGAGGGCGATGCCCCGAGGGCCCTGCTGTGCCAGGGCTCCCCCTGCCAGGTGGGAGGGGTATCGGTCATCACCGGTGGGGCCAGGCCAGTGGGATCTTGAGCTTCGGGATGGTAGGGGACGGAGGGCAGCCCCTGCCCCTTGCCCACAATGTGCCCTCCTGGCTGGCAGGGGCCACCAGCTTGCTCTTTGGAAGTTGGATCTACAGACGGAGGGCAGCCCCTGCCCCTTGCCCACAATGTGCCCTCCTGGCTGGCAGGGGCCACCAACTTGCTCTTTGGAAGTTGGATCTACAGACTGTGGCAGAGGGAGAAGCTGGAGAGACTGTTTCATTTTGCAGGTGGGAAACCTGAGGCTGTGTGCGGGGCATGGAGTTGCTCTGTGGGCTTTCTCTGGTCCTCAGCACAGGGCTGCCGTGGGCATCATCTGCTCCATCTCCTGAAGGAGGGACTGGGGATTGGGGAAGGGAAGTGCCACGTTCAAGTTCTCCTGCTTCAGCCGGTTCTCTGGCTCCCACAGGCTCAGATCCGAGTTGGAGATGGAGCAGCACCCACGCTCACTTCTTTCTCCCGAGGGTGGAAAACAAGCCCGAACGAGGCTGAGGATAGGGGATGCCCAGGATCAGAGATGAGCCTCCTGCCAGAAGCAAGAAGTTCTGAGGCCCCAGCCGGGCCGGGGAAGTTCGGGATGAAGGCAGCAAGAACAGCGGCAGCCACTCCGTCCTCCCCAGGCTGGTCGCTGGGAGTGGCACATCTTCACCCACGGCCTCTACCTTGGGGTTCAGATGAAGTCATCAGGGTGACCCCCACAGCCTCTGCCCTGCCAGAGCTTCCTCCCTCCTTCCATGTGGACCCTGAAACCTGTGCAAGAGGCCGGGCCCGAACACCACTCCTGACGCAGAGGGGAGCCAACCCCCTGCACCGGCCTCATCCATGGTCACAGGCCTTCAAGGGCTGGGCAGGGTCTGGCTGGGGGCAGGCAGAGCAGCTTGGGCTGGGCAACTGTGGCACAGGATAGACAGCCAAGGGGCAGGAGAGAGGTGCGGTCCCCTCCCACTGGGGCTCGAGGAGGCATCATGGAGGAAGGGTGTGGTCCCCAGTGTGGGGGAAGGCATGGGAGGGTTGCCCAGGGCTGGATCATCCTGAGCCACCTGCCCTCAAGGGAGGGTCTCTCTGGAAGCCAGGGTGCACATCCAGGGTGGCGGGAAAGGTTGCCTTTGGGGGCCAGATCCGGTGGGCCCCGGGAGCCTGGCTGAGCCGTGGGAACTTGTGAGCCCCGGGGAAGTGCTCGTGGGCTTGGAGCCTAAGGCTGCCGGGAGCACAGCCCAGCTTGGGGATGCAGCTTTTCAGCAAGTGCCTCGGAGCTTTCTTGGAAGCAGGCTGAGTATAAATTATAAATAAACAAACGAGAAGTCTGCTGGAGGGCGTGGGCCGGCGGGAAGAGGGGAGAGACCGGAGGCAGAGACCTCACTAGGAGCTGATACCCCCGAACTTGAACCCACTGCGCCTCTTCTGCTGCGCCGCCCGCCCAGCCTTGGAGGCTCGGGGTCTCCTGCGGAGGGTGCTGCCTGGGGTCTCAGGCTCTGGGAGATGACTTTTGCCAGGGTGCAGGGCAGGCCAGGTGCAGACCCCTACGCGGGAGTGGGGAGGCCCACCAGGCTCCTGCAACCCAAAGAGGTGCAGGCCCAAGTCTCCCTCGGACAAAAACAGGCCCCGTGGACACTCATCCGTGTGGGAGGTGTCTTACCAAATGTTTGAAAGGGAAAAAAAAATCCCATTTTCTTAGCTTTTTTTTTTCCCTTTCTATTTTTTGATTATTTTTCTAGATGACTTCATTTCTAAGAAGGGTGTAGGGGAGAGAAGGAGGACAGAGGGAGGGAGGACACGGGCCCCCCTGAGAGCCAAGAGGGACGGTAGCAGGGGTGGAGGGAGCCGAGCAGGGTGCCTGCGGGGCCCAGGGAGGAGCCGAGGCCTCCTCACCGGGGAAAGTGGGCATCCTGTCCTGACCGGTGTGCTTTCTCCTGCTGACCCTTCACGGGCCTCCTGGTCCGCTCTGTTCCCGCAAGGCCCCAGAGGCCAGCTCATCCAGCAGGGATTGGCGGGGCCTCGAGGAGCTCCTTGCTGGCTCATGGCCTCTGCCCTCGGTCAGAGCAGAGAGGGGTCCCGGTGAGGCCTCCTCACCCCACACAGCGCTTGGGACCAACAGAGCCCACTGGCTGGCCTCCCCAGAGAGGAGGAGTTATTGCAGGACATAAGAGGCTCTGAGAATCTTCTGGAGAGCCGTGGAGTTGCTCAGTGCCACACACTCCGGAGCAACCCACCAACCCACGGCCCACGCGTGACACAGCATGGCTGCCCCCCAGGCCACCATTCAGGGAAGTGACTGGGGCCCTTGCCTTGGGCCGCCCCCTTCTGCGTCTGTCTGCTCCGGTGAGTGTGGCGGCAGGAGTCCCGGCCACCGGCCTACGCTGGAGCTGCACGGGAGTCAGGGGTACAGGCGCTGGCTTCTGCCTTCAAAGACGGGACTGTGTAAGGCAGAGAAGCCCCTCAAGGCAGGGGCTGCCCCACAACCCCGAGCTTCCCAGCGGCTGCTGAGCCCCGAGGTTGGACCCGTTCCAGGCCTCTGGAGGCTGCCGGCGCCCGTGGGCTTATTGGCCGATGGGCACACCACCCAGCCTCTGCGTCCAACTTCTCGAGGCTGTTTCTGAGCCTCCGCCTCAGCCTCCCTCTGCCTGTCTCTTCTGACACCTGACATTGGCTTTAGGGCCCACCCTCATCCAGGATGAGCTCATCTGAAGATCCTTAACTTGGGGACATCTGCAAGGAGTCTTACTCTAAGTGACTCACATTTTGAGGCTCCAGGTGGGCACATCTTTTGGGGACCACCATTTAATCTCCCCCCAAGAGGCGTGAGATATGGGCACAGAGCAGGCAGGGGCTGGGAGGGAGGGGAGCATGAGGGAAGGCAGGGGTGGCGGGTGGGAAGACCGTTTGGGCAGGAGAAACCAGCTGTCCCCAGCCCGGCGTCCATGGGTGTGGGACCCGCTGACCTCCACTTAGTTATTTAAATCCCAAGGCAGCTTGTGTCTGTCCAGATGGGTTTTTCCATCAAGGCCAGGGGTGTCCCAGCTCCAGGCAGCATGAGCACCCCATTCCCCTGAGGGACCCTGGGCCCCCCAACACTTAGGAACCCCGGGGTCAGGGCCCAGGAGGTGGGAGATGCCTCGCCCTTCCTGCCCAGGCCAGGCTCTCTCAAGGGTCCCCCAGTGCCCTCACCAGACTCCCCATCGCCTGGAGCTCTCCCTGCGGGCCCCCCCTGGTCTCCTCCCCAGATCCTCCCTGTTGGAGTTGGAGCCATTTCTCCTGATGGGGCGCATTCCCATCCATGGCAGCCAATGCTCTCAGAGGTGGAGAACCCTCAAGATGCACGGTCCGAACCGGAGTATAAAAGCGTCTGCATACACTTTCATCTATGGTCTTGTCAGATCCTCAGTACCACCTGCCAAGGAGATACTAGCCCCACCTTACAAAGGAGGAGACAGCCCCGAGGGGCATGATGACTTACCTAGGTTCCCACTTGAACTTTGAGACTTGAAGCCCAAATGCCCCACTCCAGCCTGTAACACCTTCCCACCCGCTCCACCACACCAGGCTCAATCCACATCAGGGCTTGAATCCTCCTCGGAACAGGGAACTCACCACCTAACAAAACGGCAAATTCCACCGACAATCCCAAATGTCAGGGCATCGTTCTTCATTGAGGGAAAGCCCGTCCTTGTCTGAGTAATGTGATGCCGGACAAATTCTCCATTTCGTCCCTTTCTTGAAAAGTGGGGCTCTGCCCCCACCCCACCCATCACCCTCCCTAGGAGCACTTCTGGCCGCTTGAGGCCCAGTCTACAACCACAGGGACACAAGGTCGTTGGGTCATGAGATAGCTGCAGAGGGGGGCTTTGGACAGTTGTCCCCCAGCACCATGCCCGGGTCAGGAGGTGACAGGATCTGCCCAGGACCAGAGCCCAGGGATGAGGCCCGGTCGTTTGGTCACCTTGGCTGCCAAGCTAGGGCCACCACGGGCAGTCACCCTGCCACAGCACAGCAGCAAGGCCATACTTTGGGGAAAAGAAAAGAAAAAAAAAAAAAGGCAACCCCCAAGAAGCGGAGAGGCTGAGTAACAGCTGAGCTGAGTCACGCAGGGCCAGGCGGGCGGGCGGAGGCGGCTGCAGGGGTGGGTGGGGGCCGCCCGGGGATGGGAGGGAGGCTAGAGGGGCACGGGGCCCACCTGGCACCCTCCCCTGGGCTTCTGGAGCTGTGGAGGGGTGCGGCGCACCGGGCAGCCCTCTAGCGGGGTTGTGGGGCCTGGATCCCCAGGGGTGGAGCGGAGCCTCAGCCTCCGTCCGTCGGGGCTCAACCCCTAGCGGGCCCCAGGCCTCCGCGGCCACCTCGTCCTGCTCTGAGCTCAGCCTCCCTCTCCGCCCAGGGCGGTGATGGCTGCCTCCCCTGCTGTGTCCAGATGAGCGGCCCGGGGCTGAGCACATGACAGGCACAGAGCCAGGCCCCCGGCGTCTGTTCACCGTCCTTAGGAACAAGGAGCCTTTGAGCTTCCCAGAGCAGGACTGTGGCGCTTGCCCAGTGGGCCTGCCCCGACCCCAGGCCCTCCCAGTGCCACCCGAGTGCACTCTCAAGGTTGTCCACGGCCTTGGGCTATGTCCTTGCCAACTTTCCCACAGGGTGCCTCAGGGTGCCGCTGAGGGTCGAGGTCCAGTGCGCCTGGGGCCGCCAGACCACGGCGGTTCTCCGACCGTAGCCAGCATCCTGCCCGGCAGCCTGGCCGCCGTGACCTGGCAGGAGGCTCATTGCACGACTCCTGCTGCAGCCAGGTGGGGCTGCCAAAGCCGGCATCGGGCTCTGCTCTGCACAATGCCCAGCACACAGTGCTACCCCAACCTCTCCGGGAGCCCCGGCCTTGGAGCACACAGCAGAGGTGTCGCCCATGTGCCCTGCGTGGGGCTGGCAGATGGCGCTGGCGTCCCCGCCACCCTCACGCCCCAGCAGGAAGGCCCTGCAGACGGCAGGCATCTGCCTGCTGAGGGCACCCCTTATCCTGCTGAAGCTCAGGGTTTAGGAGCTGGAAGGCACCCCGAAGATGATCACCGAGGCCCTGGGAGGGGACAGACTTGCCTGGGGCCACCCAGCCAGTGGTGACAGGTGTCCCTGCCCTGCCCAGTGCCTCCAGCGCCCTGCCACGCGCCTCACCCCACGCCAAGAGCCCCTGTGATCCCAGCCCCCTCTCCCTCCCAAGCACTCCCGCTCTCCCCACCGGCCTGCCTCTCCCGCCCCCACGCTCTGGCGGGAAGGGGTTCCTATGGCACCCCTTCCCCCGCACACACTTAGCTCACTGGCAGCCCATCTGCCCCGAGACAGTCAGCAGCAGATGCCTCCATGCACAGCGGTGCCTGAAGCGAGCAGCCCAGCACCTCCCGGACGTGAGCACTGCCAACCAGGCCCAGGGACTCACACCACACTTGGCAGAGGCAGGGGACCGTCCCACCCAGAGGGCCCACAGGGCTGGGGAACGGGGTGTGGGCTGGAATGGGAGCTGCCCGCGCAGCCCCCCACCCCCCTGCACCAGGGCTCCAGCCGCCTGGGAGGGAGTTGGCGGGTGAGCCGCTGTTAGCAGGCTGCACACTTGCAGCTCTCGGACTCCCTGGGGAAGGCCCCACGTGTGGGGTGCTGCTCCCAAGCCCCCAGCCACTCCCCTCCCCAAGAAGGAGGCTGGTGGGCCCCCTGGGCAGACCCCCACATGAGGCCTGGGCCCTGGGCTGGGGCTTGTGGAGCAGGCTCTTCGCTCTCTGCTGGCCTCAGGCCCGGGCCTGCTGGGTCGCAGGGCCAAGTCCAGCCTCCCTCAGCTCCATCTCTAGGGACTTCCCTTACTACCAGTGGGGACAGGTGGCCGAGCAGGGTCAGGGGTCCCTGGGGCTGGGCCTCCTGGGAAGTGGTGGCCATAGTCCCTGGACCCATCAACCATTTCCAGGATGCACGTGGCCAGTTGGCAAACAGCCTGGTTTCCATGGCAGCAGCCTCAGCCCTGGGTCTGGGAGGAGGGGCCGGCTGAGGACCCCCAGAGCTCAGCCTTTGGCTCCTGCCCTGCCCTCCCCAGCCCCAGGAGCAGAGCTTTGTAGCCCGTGGGTGCCCAGCCAAGCCCTGGGG